AGTCCCATGACTGAGACACCGTAGAGGACAGTCCCATGACTGACACTAGGGAATGAGGCTCCTACTTCGGTATTGTGAGCGTAGTCCCATGACTGACAGACAATAGGGATAGTGTCATGACTGACAGACAGTTGGGGATGAGGCTCCCACTTCGGTGTTGCGAGCGTAGTCCCATAACTGACAGACAATAGGGGATGAGGCTCCTAGTTCAGTATTATTTTGGCTTCGTGGATGATCTAAAACTATCTTAAATCGTGAGTGTATGCACTCCTTGCAAGGCCCAATGCTTCACTTTGCATTGTGCCGTTGTTCGTCAAACGCTTATGGTAAGGAAATTGTACGCACTCTCCCCTAACCTGCTGGAGTGTCACGTTCTGCAGATAAGTACAAGCTTCTTACAGAAAAGCTGAAAGCTTTTTTTCAACCACAAGTGAATGTCACATACGAAATGTCTATATTACATGATTTGTACAATGTACAGGAAGGAGGGGGAGCGGTTTGACGCATTCATATCTCGCGGCCTTACTTGAGACTGCAGGCGGATCGCTGTGGCTATATTGTAGCCAGAGAAACTGTTGTGCTGGAATGTGCTGTTGCCAGGTGTAAGGACCCGGAGTTGCAGAAGTTTTTTGCAGATCCACACCTGACGCTTCAAAAGGCTGTGGAAATGGCCCAACGCCTGGAGGTGACCAGAACCCAGCTGGGTGACCTCAACAGGCCAGGACTTCTTTTCAGCCAGGTGGCACCACAACAACTGCATCTCGCCCGGTCGGCAGCCACGGTGAGGTGTCCAAGGTTTAACAGTCGGAGGCAACAGGCCAGTCAGTGTCCTTTCAGGACCCAATTTTGCTTCAATTGTTCAAAGGCGAGACACGCTGAGTCTACCTGTCAGTCTAAGCAGTTGCCAAAGAAGTAGGTATGTGGTTCTGTCCTGCCAGTCCACCAAGTGCGATAGATGTCTGGTAACGTCCCACCAGCCGACACACTATCCTTTCAAGAAGTTGGCTTGCTTTGCGTGTGGAAGGATTAGTCATACTCCAGCTGCGTGTGGGATCAACCATCCACAGCCCCCCCCCCCAGACGTCTGTGTGTTAACGTAGTTTCAATTGGTTGGTCAGTGCAATTCAGTGCAGTGATATTCAGCACACTGAGTGGCAACCAAACTGGTGTTCGATTAACCCGTGATTGAATCGATTGGACTGTATAAAACAAAATTTGTTGAATCAAAAAGGTTGGTTCACCGTCAGGATTTTTCGATTCACAAGTCATGATTGAATCAAACGAATTGGGAATCAGGGTTGATTGAATCAAAGAAGTGTATGCTTCATGAATTTAAGAAAATTTGAACTGTACAGATAGTTCATCATCAACAATACTTCCAGTGTCATGGGATGATAATTGCATAACACTGACGAGAAGAACACAACAGATGCAATAGTATCCCTAAATCAGGGATCTTTTTGAAATTGAATCGGAAAAAGAATCGTTCAATTATTTTTTGGCCCAATCAAAAGTGCATCATTCCTTTTTTAATCTCTGAATCAAAAGGAATCGATTCACCATTTTTTAAGGAATTGAACGGTGATTGAATCTTTGAAAAATAATCAAATGAGTCAATGATTGAATTGATCCAAAAAAGGCGAATCAATAACCAGTCTGGTGGCAACATCGCGTCGGTTGAGGACAACAGTGCCCACAGTGTCGGTTGAGGACGGGAGTTCCCAACTCACGTGCGTGCCCACAAGAGATCCTCATCCGTGTCACAAGCTGCGTTGCACTTCTGGAGCAGCTTTGCTGTCAATGCACTGCGACCTGATGCGCTGCCTGGCGATTCTGGCCGCGATTCGTCTGCTGGTGCTCGCCAGCTCGCCGATGCCAATGCCGAGGAGAGAGGGATGGAGCAGGGCAGAGGGATGGGGTGGGAGCTTTGAGACGACGTTTCACCGACGGCTGGCACGCGACCATGTTTTGTGAGCGGGACGGTCCCTGAGTCCGTTACGTTTCCTGAGATTGTGTATGGCTTGTAGTTGCCCGGCTGTCGGGTGTTTTGTGCCTCGTCTGAGCACCCTGACACCCTCCGTGTGCGGCGGTGTCCGATGTAGATTCTAGGTCTGCTATCTACCCCCTGCCCTTCCTTTACCGAACTTCTGACTGCCCCCCCCCCCTCTCTCTCTCCCTCTGCAGCAAAGTTTTCGTTCTCTAGTCGCCATGGATTTCACCGGCAGCTGCGGCAGCGTGTTTAGCGACCCAGTCGAGGCCAGGGCTGAGGGCCATCGAGCTGGCAGAAAGTCACCATCCCAGGAGAACACACCCGCTAAAGAGGCTCTAAGGTATGTGTTTTGACGACGGACGGAGGGGGATGGGCGAATGCCGATGTCGCTTTGCTCTGTGATTTTATGAAATATGGTGACTAATGGTTGCAAACCAAAATGATAATTAAAATCTAAATCTTTTTGTATTTTAGACGTTTCGACAACAAGGTGCCACCATTGGTAATCGATACAAAATCTACCTTAACCCTCGCATGTGTAGGGGCCGGGGGAGGGGTCGGATGGACCCCTCCATGGTTTGTTCCCAAATAACTCGCGCAAACTGCGGCTGATCGCGACAAAACTTTCAGTACCCTCGAGTTGATCAACTTTACAGTTACCCTGAAAATTGCATGACCCTGACCGAAATGACCTTTGACCTGTGACCTGATTCTCGAGACCATGTTCGGCCGGAATCGCGATTTGGCGTATGTCAGCTCACATTATCCGCGCGTTTCCAGTCTTTTTGTGATTATAAACGTCGAAACATGTGAAATGATGTTCGTCCCACGAATTACGGTGGGTGTCAACGTCACCTGAAGGTCAGGTCATTGACCTTAGATGACCTCGGTTCACTTTTTCGTATATTACATGTTTCAAGGGTAGTTTTCGGGCTGATTTCGAATTTAGCATCCATTTGAACATTTGCGAAGTAGTTTAGTGCCTTCGTAACATGTTACGACGCCGTCAGTGGTAGTTGACACCTACTATGGATAGCCGTCAGGACGCCTACTGGTCGACCTGACCTGACCTGACCCGACCTGGCCTAAATGCATGAAGACATCATCTGTAATCAAAAGTAATATGAAATTCGTGATCAGCACACCAAAAAAAAAGCCACAACAGCTTCACTTTACGAAATTCTAACAGGTCCCGATTTTCTCGACTTTTGGGCCATTGACCTGACCTGGAAGGTCAACCAATTACCTAGGACCTTAAAATTGGGTATCATCGGCTTCCTCTCATCACGGGCAACACGCTCGTTTTTTCCGCGAACCTCTAGCTCGATCAGGGGCCGAACGGCAGGCGGGTTCAACGGACCCCCCCCCCCCCCGCCGTACACATTACGCTGGCAAACGCCGCACACATGCGGGGGCTAAGTCACAATCCGAAGTAACGGTTTTTGGTCTCCTGTAAATTTTCCAGGTCGTTCAGTTGGTGCCGTTGCACGCAGCTCGCCTGGCTGGGGCCTTTCTTCTATCATTAAAATGTTATCTATCACTGTTTGCCGGAACTGGCCTCCTATAACGCGTCAGCCTCGTTGAAGATTGCCATCCCTTCATCATTTTGTCGTTGCACTGTACCACGCCATGGTTAATTAGTATCATGCCTGCCGAACGACGTCATCACGGTGCCATCAAAGGGATGTGTCGAGGCTGCTTTAATCTGGGACGCTGGTCGGCAGCTCACATTTCAAAAGAAACTGACGCTCATGAACTAGACATGATGAATGATCGACGAACGTGCATCCAGCTGGTAGGGTAGCAGTTGTGAAATGCCCAGGATACAGCGGCGTCACCACGGTTTCAGAACTTCTAGGGACACTTTTCCAGGGCGTCGCCACAAACCTTTCCTTGAGTCTGGTCGCCAATGCCCACCTACCCCCAAATCTTCGTTCCTTGTTGGATTTCGGCCACTGCCTAATTTAAAAACGAGGGATAATAATTAATATTTAGTTGGGGAAAAAACGAATAAGTTATGCGGTAGTATGTAGGCATATTCTTCAATCAGGAAACGCGTGCCCACATCATTCTGCCTATGCAAACCTGTTGGACCCCAGAGGCCAGCAGAGGGCCCTCAGAGCCCAAAATGGTCCCCCAGAGGCCAATGCAGGCCATGAAAGGTCCGGCATCGGATCTTCCGAATCCAGTGCGAAACCCTCAGAGGCTAATATAATTGGCCCTTACAGGCCAGCATGGGGCCTCATAGGTCAGTGTGGGTTCCTAAAAGACCGGCATGGGCCAGCGAGACCCCAGAGTTGGACCAGAGACAAGCAGAGTGCCCTCAAAAGCCAAGATTGGCCCTCAGAGGACGATGCGGCCTTAGAGGCCGGCATCGGGTCTTCAAAATCCAGTACAGGGCCCTCAGGGACACGTAAAGGTTAGTCTTCGTACCCCAGAGACAGAACTGCCGCCAGAGGCCGATGTGAGGCCCTCAGACGCCGGATGGGCCCCTGAGGCCGGTTTAGGGGCCCTTAAAGGCCAGCGGAGGGCCCTCAGAGGTCAATGCGGGTCCTCCACGGTCAGTGTGGGCACTTGACCACCATGGAAGGGCCCTCAGAGGTCAGTGTAGGGCCCTAAAAGACCGGTATGGAGCTGTCAATAGCTGATGTGGGTTTCTTGAGCCTAGTGACAATCGAATAAGGGCCGGGGCCCCATCGCTTGTTTTTTTTTGGGGGGGGGGCAAATTATATGATGACCCCTGATTTTCCCTTTGGGCGGGGGGCATGGCCCTGATGCCTCCCCCCTCTACCCGCCGTCTCCGATCCCCACTCCGATGTTCCAGAGGGAATTGATTTAGGAAATGTTGGCTTGACCAGCGGCCGGCCCAGAGCGGCGGCCCAGTACTGCCCTGATCCTGACCTCCCGCCGGGTCCACGCGCACTTTGGCGACCAGCCCCTCATACAGCTGGGTCTGCCCCAGCTCGTAACCGGCGGGCAGTTGCATATCGTCATCGGTCGGGTTTATAAGCTGGACCTGTATGTAACCAGCCGAGTTCGTTTGAGCAATCACGCTGGGCACCTCCAGAATCGGCTCGGGTGTCTCCTCGGGTGACTGGGAAACAAACTCGACCAATTTCTCGGACGAGTGCCGGCCTGCCGTATCCAGCTTTACGGCGACCACACGCACGTGCCTGGAGGCCGGAGGACACCGTCACATCTGTGAGGAGGCACACCGCTCGTGGGCCTTTTTATTTATCGTGGCGATGTTGACGCGACCGTTCGCAACGCAAAACACATGTGTTTGGAGAGCTGAGCAAGTTGCGTCATTATTGTGTCCCGGGTTCTTTGCGTGTCCCCAGTAAAGGGAGCTCCAAAAACTTCTAAGGACAATCCCTAGTAGTTTTCGATGATTTCAAAACTTCTAGGGACAATGTCCCTAGTGTCCCTAGTGGTGGTGACGCCCATGCCCAGGAAGGCTCTGGAAGGGAGGAGAAGAGGCCAGCTGGCTCGATATTAGTAGACTTTGGCCGAGTTCTGTTGCCAATTGTTGGCGTAGGTCATGGATTATTGCGAAACGGTTTGGGATTCGCGACGATTAGCCGTTGTCTTCCGACAGTTTGTTCTACATTTAGACTTAGATTTCCCTGGACGATGACTTACCGGTCGTGCTATCATAAGTAGCGATCATACGTGCATAAAGATTAATCCGGTGTCGATCCGGCCATCTCATTGGCCCCCTGCTGGTCGCCCACCGACCTCAGTTGACCATTTTCTCCCCTCCACAGGTAAAGGACACCAGTCAGCCGCCGGTCACGGTGCTGGACGGCGGCAAGACTCGCTTGTACGACGTCATCCAGCTGGTGGAGTTTTACCAGCTGAACGCCGGAGTGCTGCCCACCAGTGCTGGAAATGAGGCCGCTTTCTGGTCCCGGCGTTTTATTCTCCAGGTGAGTTAGCCCCGTCTAGCGCTTAGCCTTTCGGGACCCTCTCAGAGCCGCGGTTGTTTTCGCCGCTCGGCCCATTCGAGATGCAAAGTTTAATCTGGGACGCTGGTCGGCAGCTCACATTTCAGAAGAAACTGACGCTCATGAACTAGACATAATGAATGAGCGACGAACGTGCATCCAGCTGGTAGGGTAGCAGTTGTGAAATGCCCAGGAAGGCTCTGGAAGGGAGGAGAAGAGGCCAGCCGGCTCGATATTAGTAGACTTTGGCCCAGTTCTGTTGCCAATTGTTGGCGTACCTAGGTCATGGATTATTGCGAAACGGTTTGGGATTCGCGACGATTAGCCGTTGTCTTCCGACAGTTTGTACTACATTTAGACTTAGATTTCCCTGGACGATGACTTACCGGTCGTGCTATCATAAGTAGCGATCATACGTGCATAAAGATTAATCCGGTGTCGATCCGGCCATCTCATTGGCCCCCTGCTGGTCGCCCACCGACCTCAGTTGACCATTTTCTCCCCTCCACAGGTAAAGGACACCAGTCAGCCGCCGGTCACGGTGCTGGACGGCGGCAAGACTCGCTTGTACGACGTCATCCAGCTGGTGGAGTTTTACCAGCTGAACGCCAGAGTGCTGCCCACCAGTGCTGGAAATGAGACCGCTTTCTGGTCCCGGCGTTTTATTCTCCAGGTGAGTTAGCCCCGTCTAGCGCTTAGCCTTTCGGGACCCTCTCAGAGCCGCGGTTGTTTTCCCCGCTCGGCCCATTCGAGATGCAAAGTTTAATCTGGGGCGCTGGTCGGCAGCTCACATTTCAAAAGAAACTGACGCTCATGAACTAGACATGATGAATGAGCGACGAACGTGCATCCAGCTGGTAGGGTAGCAGTTGTGAAATGCCCAGGAAGGCTCTGGAAGGGAGGAGAAGAGGCCAGCTGGCTCGATATTAGTAGACTTTGGCCGAGTTCTGTTGCCAATTGTTGGCGTAGGTCATGGATTATTGCGAAACGGTTTGGGATTCGCGACGATTAGCCGTTGTCTTCCGACAGTTTGTACTACATTTAGACTTAGATTTCCCTGGACGATGACTTACCGGTCGTGCTATCATTAGTAGCGATCATACGTGCATAAAGATTAATCCGGTGTCGATCCGGCCATCTCATTGGCCCCCTGCTGGTCGCCCACCGACCTCAGTTGACCATTTTCTCCCCTCCACAGGTAAAGGACACCAGTCAGCCGCCGGTCACGGTGCTGGACGGCGGCAAGACTCGCTTGTACGACGTCATCCAGCTGGTGGAGTTTTACCAGCTGAACGCCAGAGTGCTGCCCACCAGTGCTGGAAATGAGACCGCTTTCTGGTCCCGGCGTTTTATTCTCCAGGTGAGTTAGCCCCGTCTAGCGCTTAGCCTTTCGGGACCCTCTCAGAGCCGCGGTTGTTTTCCCCGCTCGGCCCATTCGAGATGCAAAGTTTAATCTGGGACGCTGGTCGGCAGCTCACATTTCAAAAGAAACTGACGCTCATGAACTAGACATGATGAATGAGCGACGAACGTGCATCCAGCTGGTAGGGTAGCAGTTGTGAAATGCCCAGGAAGGCTCTGGAAGGGAGGAGAAGAGGCCAGCTGGCTCGATATTAGTAGACTTTGGCCGAGTTCTGTTGCCAATTGTTGGCGTAGGTCATGGATTATTGCGAAACGGTTTGGGATTCGCGACGATTAGCCGTTGTCTTCCGACAGTTTGTACTACATTTAGACTTAGATTTCCCTGGACGATGACTTACCGGTCGTGCTATCATTAGTAGCGATCATACGTGCATAAAGATTAATCCGGTGTCGATCCGGCCATCTCATTGGCCCCCTGCTGGTCGCCCACCGACCTCAGTTGACCATTTTCTCCCCTCCACAGGTAAAGGACACCAGTCAGCCGCCGGTCACGGTGCTGGACGGCGGTAAGACTCGCTTGTACGACGTCATCCAGCTGGTGGAGTTTTACCAGCTGAACGCCGGAGTGCTGCCCAGTGCCCACCCGTCTCATCTGCTTCATCACGCACACCGCGCCGTCGTCGTCATCGGCGCTCCGTCACGTCGCGCAGAGCTTCTAACGGCTGCCGCACCGCCGCCAGCGCCTCCGGCGGCGGAAGCGCGCGGCTGTAGTTCGTGACGGCGGCGTGCTCCGATCATGGGGCGAACCCCGGGCCCCCTGGGCTACAGAGTGGGTTGCGCGGTGGAGTCTGCCCGCTGCTAACATCTACCGGCGCGGCGGGCAGGATCCAATGTCGCGTGTAGTCGCCAGGGCGATTGGAGTCGGTCGGCCTGGACCTCCAGTTTGGATGCCCGTTCGAGTCCACATGGACAGCGTGCGGATACCCCAGTGCCTGTCTGCACCTGTGTCTTGGAGGGATCGTGTGTTCCCTGCGGCGTCAGAGGAGGCCCCCACGTGCTCACGGGGTGGGACAGTTGCGACCCGCGCGGCGGGGCGGGGCGGAGCGGCTGCTGCTGGCCCCGTACACTGTTCTGTTGAGTTCCTGGCGCGGCTGGCGACGCTGCGTGATCTCACGGCCGGCTCTGTCGCCGCTGACCCAGTATTAAGTTGCTAGGGAGCGTGTGCTGCTCGCGCCTGTTGGCCGGCTGTGTCCGGTGCTATGATAAATACAATATATGTAACTATGTTGCAGTTCCTTTCTTTTGATTGAAGCCAGATGTACCGAGGTGCTGGAGGCACACAAAACGAGCTGTTTCGCGGCCGCACGCAGCTCCTGATTTACCTACCACAAAAATTAACAAACAAAATCAAACGTCATCGCTTGAATGCATTTGTAGTTTAGAAGACATACAAAGGATTTCAAATTGAGAACAGAATTGTGCCGCAAAATACCATTGCTAACGCGCGGCTAAAAACGTTCTCTACCGGTAAATATCGGAAAAGTCGAAGTCTGGCGAAAAGTGCCTCCAAGAACTAGGCTCTGGAAACGCCTCTGCGCATGTAAGAAACTCCCGGTGCCCTCCCCGTTCCGCCGCCTATGCCGCGGGAATTGATACCCCCCCCCCCCCTCCTCCCCCCTCCACTGAATCTGAATGTGCACTCAAGGTCATCGATATTCGCAGTGCGCATGCGCGCAGCGAATGTGAATGTGCATTCAAGGTCATCGATATTCGCAGCGCGCATGCGCGCCGCCAACCTGAATGTCGATCAAACTGATCGATATTCGGAACGCGAATGTGAATGTGCATTCAAGGTCATCGATATTCGCAGTGCGCATGCGCGCCGCCAATGTGAATGTCGATGAAACTGATCGATATTCGGAACGAATGTGAATGTGCATTCAAGGTCATCGATATTGGCAGTGCGCATGCGCGCCGCGAATATCGATGAAAATGATCGATATTCGGGACGAATCTGAATATCGATGAAAATGATCGATATTCGGAACGAATCTGAATGTGAATCTGAATGTGAATATGATGTAACTATACGCGCATCCACAGGGGAGCAATGCCGCTTGAACCCTATTGGCCGTAGTGTCTAACGGTGGCGGCCATATTGCGCAGACCAAGAAACGGCTGCCGCCTGTGTTGAGGAATAGGGAATTCGGGACCTCGATTTACGTTTGCGGCCGCCGCATCCGTTACGTTCAAGTTACGTAGATACGGAACCCGGCATCTTACGCAGAATTGAGTGGGGAACACGATAGTATCTTCAGAATTCCTCAAATTCACTCGCCGGACCTACATTTGCCCCGGCCGAGGGGGTTGATTGAACCCACCTCGCTAATGCGCCGCTAATTTAACTAGAATTAAGCGGTAAATTGGTCGTTTGCGACAAAGGATAATGCAGAGTGACTGGTAGGAACCCACTGTAAAGGTCCCGGGTCAACCGGTGACCTCTGAGGTCAGGTCAAGTGATCTAAGGCACGGGTTTGGTTTTTGGTAAATAACTTCGCCAAAAATGGCCGTAGAGCCGCGATTTTGGCATCATCGTGTTCAGCTAGCTCAGGCGCATCGAGTGATATACTTTTTGTTCGGGTCAGGTCAACTTAGGGTGTTGACCTCAGGTCAAGGTCAGGTCAGCACCGCCAGGTCACGAAGATGGTCGAAAGAGGTCATGTCGCATATCATTCGATTCGGCAGGTCTTCCTGAGTCCGTTGGTGGCTTTCCCGACTCGCTAGCTCAATTTGATCGGGAGTTATTGAAGAAAAACTGTGACCCTTGTGACGTCACAAATGACGTCACGCAAGCGCAACAATGCAAATATGAAGCATAGAACCTTGCAAGGAGTGCATAAAATCATGATTTTATATGCTTGAGATAGTTTCAGATCATTCTCGGCGCCAAAATAGCAATTTTCATATTTCCCCATTGACTTATAAGGGCTTAACGTATTAGTTCCTTGTATCTGAGAAGTTTTTAGGATTTCATCTTATTCTCCACTCAATTCTGCGTAAGATGCCGGGTTCCGTGGCCACATAGCTTGAACGTAACGGATGCAGCGACCGCAAACGTAAATCGAGGTCCCGAATTCCCTATTCCCCAACACAGGCGGCGGCCGCTTCCTGGTCTGCGCAACATGGCGGCACCGTTGGACACCATCTGGCGGCCGATGCGCATTCCACATTATAGAGTTCAGTTACCGGGGTTACATGAGCGATCCGTTCCAAATACGCACTACGCTAATGCGCATCAGGTCCCCACAAACGTATCTACGGCACCGGTTACATGAGACTAATTCGTTTTATCTACGTCAAACGGATCTTGTTTGGCTCACCCGGGCTGACTCCTCGACGGCCGGTAATTCGCATCACAAACGGAATAGGATTAGCGTACAGTCATGGCGCAGTTGCGGCATTTACCGGGACGACTGAACTAAATTTTAAATACTTTTATCATTTGATAGGCTCAAAAACATTTAAAATTAACATGAAATCAAAAAATGAAAACAAAGTTTTCTTGTTTTAACCCGCGCCCCGTAGGGGGGGGGGCCGAAACGGCCCCTCCCTGTCCTTTTCGGTCGATATCTCCTAAACGGCTGGAGATATCGCCACCAAACTTTCTGGACCCCTCCGGGCATCAATTTTACACATTGTGACCAAAAATTTTTCCAGAGGCTATGATAGGTTGGCCACAAATGACGTCAGAGTGACGTCATGTTCTGTCATTTTCGACCGAAAAAAGACCTTCGCGAGAAGACCTGTCAGGACTACAGCTTTGAAGATACAGAAAAATGATCAAGACATAAAAGGTGTAGAATTGACAGGGCTACAAAACTGCTATCTCGAATTTTTGAAATTTTTGAGTTTTGACCCCCAAAAATCAAAAAAACATTTTTTTGGATATATTCGCCAAAAAATCCAAAAAGTTTTTTGAGTTTCGAAAAAACCGGAATATATGTGATAGTGCCTACCGTCTTCTATCTACATACCAAATTTCAGATCGATACCTCGTTTTTTGGCCAAGTTATAGCGAAAAAACTGTTCAAAAATGATGACGTCAAATTTTCAAACTCAATTTTTGGCAATTCTAGAACTCGTAGAGCAAAACGAAGACCACCATTAGACTCCCCGTGACGAGCTGCATCGAATCGATACCCATTTTATGCAAAAATATCAACTTTGAAATTTGACCTAATTTGACCTGACCTTGACCTGACCTTCACAAAAACGTGACCTAGGCTGGCCCCAAAGGCTGCCTAACCCACATAATCGCATTTGTCAAGTAAAATGGACCATAAAACATGTATCACACGACACATTCATATTGTGACCCCCGGTGACCTGACCTCGCTGTGACCTGACCTGGTATCAGTGACCTCAGATAGCAAAGTATGTGTTTGACGAACAATGTACCATCGATGGTTTTCAATAAATTACCAATTTACTCGCTTTCACAGCACATTTCTTGAATTGCCTGTGAACGGTGAAAATCTGACCTTTGACCTGACCTGTGACGTCATCGGTTTGACCTAGGTCAATGAAATTTGGTCACAAGGTAGTTCCCGGGTGGGGCTATCGAACGCCGTTTGAATTTTGAAAATCGGCCGGTAACTTTCCGAGATCTTAGGGGGGGGGGCCGAAACGGCCCCCCCCCTACGGGTGGTAGGGTCCGCCGGTAGCCCTACGGGGCGCGGGTTAAGTCAGTGGGCACTGATTCGCCATGCAGCGACAGCAGGGTGGTCAGAAAAAAATATCTATCAAAATATTTCATTCATTTTATTTCACATGCAAAGACTAAACCAAAATACCAACATTTTTTTGCTATTTTCTACGAGGCAGCCAATAAAAAAATGCTTAGTATTTTGCATTTTGACGCTTCCAGTCAGCAAAGAATAGTTCTTGTGAAATACGGCCCGAATCGTGTGCCTCAGGCCTGGTGGTTACATGAGCGATCCGTTCCCAAATACGCACTACACTAATTCGCATCAGCTCCCCAAGAACGCATTCGGTGCACCGACTACATGAGCAAATTCGTATCAGTGACGTCAAACGGATCTAGTTTGGCTCTCGGCCCGATGCGCATTACAAACGAAATAGCATACAAATGTGGCGCACTTCCGTAGCAATAGAGGTGATTGAATTAAAAACTTAATATCTTATATCTTTTTTGCATTTAATCTGCTCAAAACATTCTCAATTAACTTAACAAAAAAAAGTTAAACATAAAGTTGTCTTGCTTTGACTCATTGAGCACTTGCCTCTCTTGATTCGTCTGTAGTGCTGTCAGAAAAATGTTTCAACTGAAAGTACTTTGATATTTTCTTTTTGGTTTGCACTATATTTATTGACAAAATACCGACATATTTTTTAAATAATTATTTCAAAAGAAGCAAATGAAAAAAATACCTATTATTTTGCATTTTAATGTTTCTTTTTGGAAAGAAATAGTTCCTGTAATACGTATCTTGGTCCTATTCGCTTCTAAGCCTCTTTCTCAGCGGATTTTGTTTGGACCGCCGATTCGTATTAGCAGGTGGATACATCAGTCGGTAGTACGCTCCTGATTCGCATTAGCGGTGAATCCGATCGTGATACGTATTTGCTTTGCTCATGTAACCGCGGATCGGATCGCCAATTCGTACTAGCAGGTGGCTACATGAGTCGGTAATGCGTTCCTAATTCGAATTAGCGGCTAAATACGTATTTACTGTGCTCATGTAACCCCGATAAGTGACACAGGCACAGAGAGGAAGAGACACGTGGGAGTAAATTTGAATTGAGGGAAAGAGTAGGCATTGATCTCTTTTTGGGATAAGCGGGATCACTGTAATGAAGCTGTGGTAAATTAAAGAACATTGGTTAGATCCTGCATATTTCTGTAAGACTGTTGTCACCATCACCATGGATTTTAAAGGTAGGTACCTAGACCTACGTTTTTACAAGCACTGCAATTAACCTAAAAATGTAATGTTTGAATTCACTACCTACTGGTATTAGATATTGATTGCTTCTGTAATTGGCGTAGCGATCATGAATATCTTCAAAGGCTGGCAGCTGGATGACAAAAAAGGCGACTAAACAATGCCCTGATTGAAATTCTATGTTAGCCCTTTTGACCAGCACCATTCCGCGCCCAATCTGCACCACACCACGGTATCTGCATTGCACCCAGCTCTGGCTGAGTGCCTCAGTTCCAATAGGCTCATTGAAATTGACATGCTTTGCAGTTTGATTGCATGGGTGGGTCTATGACAGCTTTATCACTAGGCATTGATATTCCAGTGCCCATGTACTTACCTGCCAATTCACTTCATTTTTCAGTGCTGCCTGTGAAGTTCTCGGAGCAGAGTGAAGCGGTTCACTATCTGTTCTACAAACAGCACACTGTGAGGTCCCCAGTGCCGGAGAAGCCATCAGATCGGACGCTGTTTGTTATCAATGTTCTACCATATATGGATGAGGTGTGTCCAAATATGTTTGCTGTGTAAGCAAAGTTGATCATGTCATAAATTGGTCAAAAAATTATGTACATATTTTACATTTTTAAGCTATTTATTTGCTGGCATTGTGTATTCTTATGCTGGTAGCAACAGTGGCTCTTTAAGTGGCTGGTATCAGTGGCTCTTTCGTTTATCAGCTCCAGAAATGTTTCAGTCACTCAAACGTGGGCTGCTGCAAGGGCTCACTCTTCACATCAAACACCTATCATATTTTATTAACAATTAAATTTTGCTCATTTCCCAGGCGAGCCTAAAGCGTCTGTTTCGCGACTGCGGCAAGGTGCGGCGCGTCTACATCCACAAGAAGCCGACGCCGGGACTGCCGGAGGCCGACTCGTCCCGGTTCTTTCCCACCGTGGAACCCGTGGTGGTGAGTTGATCAGAATCATTCGGGCCGAAGGTGATAGACTGATTTAGCGCGTCTGGCTTTATCCTTCTGTGTTAAGCCTTCTGTGTTAGCCTTCTGTGTTAGCATTGAAATGCCAGAACTAAATCGTGTGAGATGGCAGGGTTCAGCAATGCGAGTAGACACATGGCAGTTTTTGCGATAAAAAAGAAACGATGAGGTATCCGCGATATCGTTCGGAAAACTCTGAAGAAATCGTTGATTTGTCGCATCGATGGACAAAATGCGGTGCTCTGCTTCAGTAACGGTATATACGGTTATCAATCGATATATATCGATTGATTAGTAGGGTAATAATTCTTCCGTTGATGATGAGAGACTGTTGCTAATCGTAAGTCAGTGCGGGGGGGGGGGTGTTTTTGACGATGCATTTGTTAGGATACCAAACCGCGCCATCATTCTTCAAGTGCCCCTAATGTTTTTGTTCCGCTCTACAGGGTTACAAGGTGGCCTATTGTGTATTCACCAAACCGGAAGGACTACAGAAGGCTCTGTCTTTGGACCTCAGCGCAGAGTCGGCGCCGAGGGTTCTCTCGACAGAGCAGCATCCGCTGCAAGTGGGAGTAGTCAGTAAGTCACGTGATCATAGTGGGGATTCCACTGAGCAATACCTCATCGTATGCAGGCGTACCCAGAATGTCACGTGATTTATCGCGGCTTTCCACAAAATGACACTAATTTTACTGGGGTGTGGTCAGTATGTCACCGGATTCGCGTTTTTTTTTTTAATTTAATTTCTTTAAAGAATAGCACCTTCTCCATGTGGGCATGTTCTGTTATGTTTAAGTTCGCTATTACGTAAACTTACACTAATGATGCAATGACGCCGCGTCGTGAGTCGATTTCCCGTGACTCTTTACTGACTCTGTCGCGCGTATCTGGCAGAATGGCAGCAGGAGTACAACGACTCTGTTCTGGACGAGGAGGCGCTGAAAAAGGAGGTCGATGAGTACATGGCGGAGCACGACGCGCGCGTGGCAGAGGTAAGACCCTCACTCGGCTCATGTCGGGTGTTTGGGGCCGCGGGGCTTTGCGATGGTGGGAAGATGTGAATATCCAGACAGTCCTAACCGAGGGAAGGGTTGTGGAATGTGGGGGATCGACGGCGGACTGTCGCTCACTGACTGGGTCTAACACAACGCCGGGTCAGGGTGGGAATGGTCGGAGGCGCATGCTCAAACAAGAGTGGAGCTTTTACTGGGGAGGTTGGACATAACTATCTAAAAGACACGTAAAGCTGCGTGCAGTGACGTACCCAAGGGGGGGGGGCACGGGGGCCATGGCCCCCTCCTGAGCGCCGAAGGCGCTCAGGGGTCCCCTCAGGCCCCGGTATATTTTTTTCAAACACTGGATAAAATATCTTTTACTAGGAAGAAAAAATGATATCAAAGTTTCATTGATGTGCCCCTGGTTACCCGAGGGGCCCCTGATGACCCGATGGGCCCCTGCAGTCATCCGAGGGCCCCCGGTTTTCTGGGGCCTTGGTCGCCTAGGGGGCCCCTGGTAGCCGGGACCTGGTCGCATGGGGGCCCTGATTGCCTGGGGTCCCTAGTCTCCTAGGGGGCCCTGGTAGCCGGGGGGCCTGGTCGCCTGGGGCCCCTAGTCGCCAAGGGGGCTCCTGGTAGCGGGGGCCTGGTCGCATGGGGACCCTGGTTGCCTGGGACCCCTGGTCGCCTGGGCGGCCTGGGGGCCCCCGGGTGACCTAAGGGCCCCTTCGGAAGCAGGTGGCCCCCTCCTGGGCGAAATCCTGGGTACCTGCCTGGCTGCGTGGCGTCAGACATGCTCGAGACCTAAACCCACTGAACTCGTCCTAATCTTACCCGCCCCGCCCCGCAGGAGATCCAGAAGGCCCGCGCGCAGGAGGGTCAGCCCGACTCGGACGGCTGGGTGCTGGTCACACGACACTCCAAGCGGCCCGTGGCGCGGCGTACCGAGGGACTCGACCAGAGGCTCAAGGAGAAGATGAAGAAGAAGAGACAGCGGCAGCAGATGGTGAACCTCTACAACTTCCAGCTGAAGGATACCAAGATGGAACGTGAGTAACGTAGGGGAAGGGTGGATGACAAGAGACAGAGATTCGGGAAAGATAAACGAGAAGGGATAGGCGCTTGGTGGCTTGGATGTTATCGCTGAGGCGATATTATTACGACCATTGTATTATCATTAATGATACGTTACACGTAATACGTTACACGTATTATCATTACACGATCACGATCACGTGATAGTATATATGTGATTGCACGTGATTGCACGTGATGTAATACGTGATTGTAGTTGGGACGCCATGATTGTAGGCGTCCCAACTACAATCATTGTAGTTGGGACGCCTGAGCCCCAATCATCGGGACGTTGACGGTTAGACGCTGTTCCCAGTTCCAGTGGCAGAAATGGCGCTGGGGAATTTGTTTGCGAGTTTGTTTTTTTTTTAACGGTTTGGCACCGGACGGAGCGTGAAGGAGGTATCTGCGGGCTGTTTGAAAATTGACAAATACTATCCGTTAAAATTGTGTTTTTCAATGGAAATCCCGCGGTGTGCGGACTGCGGATCTATTTTTTAGTAGACCGTGACAAGTGCGTGGATGTGTGTCTGGTATCAATTGATTGTAAATTGACTGCCTTAGCTTTACTGAATGCACTTTTTTCCTATCATACGAGTATACGTCATCTGGCTGGTTTCCTCTGCTTTTTGTGCTTTTTAGTTTTTATCATTAATAGTTAATTTGTTTGTGTTCTTTTAATGGTCTTCTCATTTGAGAAGTCATAGTTTCTTTATTCTAACGCATCACCTGTCTGTTTCAGAACTGGCGAAACTACGAGAAAAGTTCGAAGAGGATAAACGCAAAATCGCCAGCATGCGGGTGCAGAGGAAATTCAGACCTTATTAGATGTTCTCGGGTCTACGTTATGTTTTGAATACACATGGAATCGCATCTATTTGGGACTTGCTTGAATTTCGTTGTCGTCTCATCAATGCCTGATGCGTGGGGATACAATAATCGTACATACAGTGAGATTGATCGCTATGATGAATCCATCCGCGATTTTTACAAGGGGGCGGCAACGAATCGCCGGCTTCGTTGGCCGTCGACATGATTTTGAGCGGTGGGGTGAGTTGGTTGAAAATACCGAGACTTTTTTACCATGGGTGGACCTTCACAGCTTTTTGCACCAATATGTTTTAGGACAGCATTGGTGCTTTGAGAAGTGAAGGGATTTGGCTCTTTGTGCCAGAGATTTGGTAGTATTTATCCTGGTATGGCAGCCCCGAATTTAGTTTCAGATATGGCGCATATAAGACAGTTTCTCTGCGGACTGTTTACATTCAGCCTGCATTGCTCCGGGCGGCCACCCCTTTGCCCCGGATGTGCCTGCGGTGGGTGGACTGATTCTCTGACGTCTGTTTTCACTCATTTTATAGGTAAGCTCTTCAGTAGTTTCAGTGAAGTTTATAATGCGTGAGATGTGCGTCACCTATGGACGATTTGACCGTCACGTCCAGCATTTCATCATGAATATTTCATCGGAATTCTAACATTCAACCTTGCCATGACCTTCATGATATTGATATATTTCTGCAGACGAATTTTGCCGAAAAATATCATGAATTTTATAATGTTGAAAGTGACTGTGATAGTAAAAAGGCAAAGGTGGGCTAGATTGCTGGTAAATGTGCAGACCAAGACATGATGTTGATGAACGTAATCAGTAAAATTGTCTGACCTCTGCTATTTTTGTAACACACTTTGGTACTTGAAGAACATGTGTATTATAAAATATATTTTTGTTATATTTCTTGTTGAATTTCTACATGTTTTGATGGTGTGCAAATCCCTTGACATTGTTTTTTATGCGACTGCTCTGTGTATTGCTGAGTTAATTGTCTCTAATTCCCCGCAGAAAAAGTAGCTGCTAACCAGCCCGCCATGGCCAATGAGGCTCGCATCTCCAAGTGGTACTTTGGTGGACTGGCATCAGCAGGAGCGGCATGCTTCACCCATCCACTGGATTTGCTCAAGGTGCATAATAGCATATCTCCTGTTATTGATTCATAAGTTTTTATGCATCAGCTTGTGACAAAGATGAAGGTACATTTTATGATATCTTAAATAGGCAGTATCAATTGTTAGGGAATATAGTTTTTGTTTTTAAGTTTGACTGGTCTGGATTACTTGCCTGAGGAGAGCACTTGACAAGACCCCACATAAGACACTTATGACTTACTTTTCATTCAGTTGCATACACACCAAATTTTGCTGAGTCATGGTGACTGTGCTTATGGCTTGAAAGCACATTTGGTAACTGTGATCCTGATAAAGGCCCTCTCAGCCCAGCTACTGCACCTCTGCTTCCTGGATATCATTGCTATGTATAGATGGACAGATAATGTCAACAGTTATGTCTAATTTGTCTCATATTTATCTCCACTTTCATCATTCAGAATGGATGAATTTTGTAAGGCCTAGAATCTTGCGTTGGGTCCAGATGTTTCTACCAGCTTGTAACCGACATCCCATCCCCTCCCGCGACCACAGGTGCATCTACAAACCCAGCAGGAGGGGAAGCTGAGCATCGGTCGCAATGTGATGAACATTGTACGGAACCAGGGAGTTCTGGCTCTGTACAACGGCCTGTCGGCGTCCCTCCTCCGGCAGCTGTCCTACTCGACGACACGGTTCGCCGTCTATGAGGTGGGTCTTTGTGCTGGTGAGCTCGGTTGACCGTCAGCTGTGTTGGGGCATTGCCAATAGAAGAATGTGGACGATTTTTTGTCGAATAAGACGACTGAAGATGTATAATTTCATGTCGACTATCGTTTCTCGTGCTTATGCTGCTTGGAATTACCGAGAAAACGATGTCGCTTTCAAATCGGTTTTGCTTTCGATACCGACGTCGGATGCAGTATTTATATCAGAAACGGGTGATGAATCGTTAAAAATGTAACTAAGAAAGATGGGGCTGACTCGTTTACCTCCGGCGACGATCCCAATCCCGTCCGCAGGTAGCGAAGCAGCAGCTCTCCACTCCTGGTCAGCCGCTGCCCTTCTACATGAAGGTGCTGATCGCGGCCAGTGGAGGCGCGTGCGGCGGCTTTATCGGTGAGCAGGGTACTCCTGACGGCGCGGAGAGGATGGTGTGCGCTCCGGGGTGAACGCGGACCGGCCAGGGTGTGGGGAAGTTGGGTACGGCGAAGGTCAAGCGTGAGAGATTCCTGTATCTCTTTCTTCCCGCTCAATCCTCTAGCATCGTTCACGCATTATGTCACGCTTATTTATCTTATTTACTTACTTACTTACTTACTTATTTACTTACTTACTTACTTACTTACGATTCGTTTAAAATTCGTCGTTGCTACGTTTTGGGTTACCAAAGACGACTGCAGTACGTATTGTCATACGACTATCAAAGCCAATAAAATCATCAAAACTTGTACTATACAAGACAGTCGTTGTGAGGGTCGTATCCAGTATTTTAACCCGCGCCCCACTGGGGTCTGTGTATAACACGCCCTACTGGGGGGGGGGCTATTCATAGCCCCCCCTCCTAACTCCGAAACTACTGGGCCGATCGTCAAAATTCAAACGGCGTCTGATAGCCCCGGAAAAACTGTCGAGCGAAACCTAATTTCATTGACCTCGAGGTCACCGATGACGTCCCAGGTCAGGTCAAAGTAAAAATTATTAGCACTTTGGCTTGTTCACATTTTGGGCTCTGGCCGCCGTCTTACAAGTCAGATCAGGCTCATTTTTGGTTTCCACACTCGTGAACAGATGCTCTAAATACCTTGAGGGTACCAAACCTGTACTTTGATTTTCAGGTCAGGGTCAGGTCATCACAGGTCACGAAAATATTATATCATGCTTCGGTCACGTGACACATGTTTTATGGTCCATTTAGGCCATAGATTTCGAATTTGATGTCGTCTGTGTCATTCAAGGTCATTTTGAGTCGAAATTAGCTTAGGTCAGGTCACTTTCAGGTCAAAAAAGGTCAAATTTTGAAGTTGAAATTTTTCAACATAAAAGGTGTCTATTGGATGCAGTTTGAGCTCAGGAACACGATGGTGCCATTTATATTGGTGTACGATGCCAAATACGTACTGAAAAATTGATTTGAAAAATTAATAATTGTGAATTTTTTGCAATAATGCGTATAACTTAGCCATTTTTGAAGATATTTAGCTAAAACTTGCTAGAGTTAGTCATAATCATGCGTTCTGTCACATATATTCCGTTTTTTTTTCGAAAAGTCAAAAACTTTTTGAAAAAAAATATAAAAATATAAATTTTGAATATTATTATATAAAATTTTCGAAATTTTCAAAATTTTGAAAATCCGAGATAGCAGTTTGATAGCGCGGTCAATTCTGAGTCCTTTCATGCAAAGAAATTGGATCTAGCTTAAAGACTGAGCTCTTGGGAGCGATTGCCGTGGTTCAATGTTTTGCGTCGAAATCGGACGAACATGACGTCACTCTGACGTCATTTCCGGCCGACCTATGGTAGCTACGAAGTTCAAATTTTGACACAAGGTGTCAAATTGATGCAGCCAAAGGTACTGAAAGTTTGGCGTCGATTCGTCAAGCGGTTTGGAAGTTATTGCAGAAAAACGGGAGGGGGGGCTATAAATAGCCCCCCCCCAGTGGGGCGCGGGTTAAGATTCGTACTGTGTATAACTGGCTGAATTATGTCGTTTTCTCAGGTACGCCTGCCGATATGGTGAACGTACGGATGCAGAATGACATCAAAATTGCTCCGGAGAAACGACGCAAGTGAGTACCTTGGTAACATTCGTCATGGGACGTGACTACGGCGTGCGAGACAGCTTACATTATGATTCGGTGATAACTAATGAAATCATCAAATGTCTTTCGACTTTAACCTTGTACCTTGTACGTACGAGTTTCTTCTCACTGTGCTACGAGCTTGTTCGTTCTATTACCTATCATTCGTAATTTTATTATGCTTCACATCGTCTCTCCTTCTCTCCCCTCCTCCTTCCTTTATCTCAAACTTCCTCTCTTCCCTGTCAATGACCGTTTATCTAATCGCTCCCCCATCCTAAAAGATACAAGCACGTCGTGGACGGTCCGCTCACCGCATACCGCGTGTATGTGAACGCTCTGTACCGCGTGCTCTATCCCCCTTCCTCGGGCAGTTATAAGCACGCAATGGACGGTCTGTACCGCGTGCCTCCCCCTTTCTCCGGCAGTTTTAAACATATGCTGTACACCCCACCCCACCCCCCAGCCCCCTGTGCCACAGTTATAAGCACGTGCTATTCTCTCCCTCCTCCTGTCTTCTACAGCTATAAGCACGCCGTGATCAACGGTCTGTGCCGTACCGCGTGCTTTATTCCACTAGCTCGGGCAGTCATAGTGTTTTATCCCCCCCCCCGCCCATCCCTGTTCCACAGTTATAAGCACGCTGTGGATGGCCTGTACCGCGTGCTGCGCGAGGAGGGCGTGCACCGGCTGTTCTCGGGCGCCTCCTCGGCCACCGTCAGGGCCATGCTGATGACGGTCGGACAGCTCAGCTTTTACGATCAGGTTAGACTGAGCTTCCGCGACATCTTCGGAATTCGGATAAAGCCGCAAAAATTGATTGACACTGCCGCGGCAAACGGTGGAAATTACCTGCTGGACCTTAGATAAGATTAGCTTAGAGATTAGTTAGATCAGATTTGGAGGAAAGGGAAAAAAGAATGACTAGGTGTCGTGCTTAGAAGGTGATTGTGATTGGGCTGCTCATAGCTTTACTCATTTTCACATTGCTAGCGTTTTGTGGACTAGTTAGTTTTAACAAAAAGTACGACTGGTATACGCGTGTTAGAGTTCTGCGAGCTAGATAATGTACAGTGGATCTTATTAGGATCTCCAGACGTAACTAGATGGCGTTGAGCCTTAGTCGAGTCCATGTCAAATTCAAGGAGAGGTCACTACCGAGCTGGGCCCGATGGGGAGGTGGGCGGGGAGGGGGGGGGGGGGTGGCGGGTGGCGAGGTCACGGTGCGGGTGACCTGTCAAACAGCCCCGGCGCGGTGGGGCACTGCCGTAGGCAAATGGCGCACTCCAGTGTTGTTCCATATCGCGGTGGTGGGCCGGGCGGCCGGTTAGCTTGGCAGCTTGGAAGGAAAGGATAATGACTAATGAGGCATGGTTTTGCTGTGGCCGGTTCACCTACTGTTACTTATGATGCACCCAGAGTAATGCAAATGTGGCGTTGATAATGCAGCTGGCAATGGAATGCTACCGAATGCTCCGAGTGCCTAGCTATAAGGATTAAGATTATTTATGTCTCCTGAAATTTTCATTGAATATAATTCAAGCACTAGAGAGATCGTATTCGTTCGCCAGTTTTTTGACCGGCTGGTGTTTCTTGCGTAGAGCGCCCTTGGGCAAATATTTAGGTATAACGCAGGTGATTTTTTTTTTTGCTGGTAAGACGCCTTTAGGGTCAAATCAAGCAGTGGCGGCGGAACACCTTTAATGAAGTGGGGGCACTGCCGACTTTTGGTCCCATTCTTTCCATGCAACGCCCATAGGGCTAATGTTAAAATGCCAAAATCAAACGGGGGCACGGTGCCCCGATGCCCCCCCCCCCGTTCCGCCACCACATGAAATCAAGTCGCTAAGAGACGATGAGGAAAAGTGGACGGACGCCACATTTCTGTGCATGAAGTCTCGAGTTCCAAAAAGCTAAAAGTTATTTTACGTGTAAGCTAAAAAACAATAAGATCAGTTAATAAAAATATTTGACCCGAAATTAACTTCTGTTTTGTCTGACCATGATTGCATGTATGACCCCGGTCCAGCCTGGTTCAACTCGGTCCAACCTGGTTCGGCTCCCCCTTTTTTAATATAAATTTGGCCCGAACCTTTTGAATGGAAGGAATCACAAGGACAGAGTCCCCGCTAAGCTGAGCTTGTTAAGCGTTGAAACCTGCCATCTACCCACCGATCAAGCAATTCCTGGTCTATTGCAGGCTATGGTTTTGAGGTTTAGTCTATTGCAAAATGGTCTATGGTTTAGAGTCCAAATTTTAACGTGCGCACATAGCCGCGCACGGCCGGTCCCCACGCTGACTTCGCCTGGCAGCGGCCTGCCACCAACCACAACCATACCCGTCAGGAGGCTAAAAAACGTCAAGCACACGTCGCGTTTCGAACCCGGACTTTTGCAACCGGGACGTGCGCCTTCACCACATGGCACATGGAGTCCAACGCTCTACCGACCGAGCTACCGGGACGGACATTTACCCTGAGGTTTCGCCTCGTGACATTGACAGACGTCAGACACTTTGGCCGAACTTTAGCCGAAACACTGAGCAAGCTGCGCAGGGCGATAGGTGCTCGTAGCGTTGAGGTTGGGTAAGCTGTGAGCTGAACGCGATGTCGTGAGTTCGAGCCCCACTCCCGGGTCTGGTTTTATCCAGACACAACCAAAACCTTTCCTTCTACTGCAACACAGCTAAGCACGATGACATCTTTCCCCAATATCTTTCCCCAATACCCTCCCCAAAAGTCAAAATTATCGCTTATAAACGTTTAGCTAACTTTCATTTTTTAGGAAAATATTTTTGGTCATTTGTCTGGAGCCATCTCAACTCTTTTTTCTTTTCTGATTCTTTTCGACCCGATAAAACCCACCAAAACTGAACGTGCCAAATGAAAAATATCTAACTCAAATAACAGTTTAGAAAAGCCTCATCATGCATCATGAAAAGCATCATGCAACTATCGACTGAAAAGTTGCATGCTATGAATACGTCCTAGATTTCAATTATCATTGTTCAACATTTTGGCTGGAACTGACGCTGCCTCTGGCTTGCCCGTTTGTTTGAGATAATGATTCCCTTCAGTCGCGTTCTTGCCGGTTCTACATGAATAGGATACCACCATACCGGAATGAACGCACCCGCAACCATCATCCCCTCCCCTCAGCCTCGGCGCAGTGGCGGGCGGCCCTGGGCGGCCCACTCCCGGCGCTACGCACGCCCCATGCGCCGTGATACAGCGTCACTCCCCCTCCCTCCTTCCCCCACAATGACCGGTGACCTCACTTCCCTCGGGAGTTGGACTCGCCCTACCCCGACCGTAGCGCCACGTGGTGGCTCTGGAGATCTTAAATAGACCCACTGTACTTATGTATCTGTAACTGCGCTGCCGCATATAGAGTTAGTTTTTACCGTGTCTGATGGCCGTTTGTCGTGTTTGTTTCCGTTCTGTAGGTGAAGCAGACGCTGCTCGGCACCGGCTACTTTGAGGACAACGTGACCACCCACTTCACATCCAGCCTGATGGCGGTACGTGTAGTGACTCTTAAACGTGTCCTGAAATTGTCATCCCGGCATTTATTGACGTCTTCAGCCGCCATCAGTGTTGGAAAATTTTTATTGTCTGGATTTGTCCTTGCTTTGACAACGGCCTGGGTAAGACTTAACCCTGACATAACTCCAAATGATATGGGGGTCAGCCGGTCCCTTGTAGCAGGTCCCCATTGTATCAGGTTGACAGTAAACCGAAAAAGCTACCGCTTGTAAGGTTTTCAATAACTACGCTGATAAACTGACCTGACCTGACCCGTGTCCTCAGGGCGCCATCGCCACCACGATGACTCAGCCGATGGACGTGATCAAGACGCGAACCATGAACGCCAAGCCCGGCGAGTTCTCGGTAGGTATATACTATATGTCTCGCGGGTTTTAGCGGTAGGTTTTGCACCTAGAAAATTGAGTGTACTTCAGACTATATCTTCGTCGTCTTAAGCTTTTAAGTGTTGAAGATGCGATCTCGGTGTAACCCTGGACCGGCAACTTCACATGGGCGAGCACTGCGCGCGCGTCCGGAAGAAGACCAAGCCGAGGATCGCACAGCTCCGTAAGATGACCGGGCGTTCCTGGGGTCTGCGGGAGCCACAGCTGCGAGTAGTAGCCAACGGCTACATCCGCGGTGCCCTGGAATACGCGGCGGCTGCATGGCTCCCTGCAGCGTCCGAGTCCCACGTAGAGCTACTGGAGATTGAGATGCGCGCCGCAGCCCGCGTTATCACCGGGTGCCCCGTGAGCACGCCGAGGGACCCGCTCCTCGCGGAAGCCGGTCTGGTTCCCGTGAGAGCACGCCGGGACCTGCTCGCTGCCAGACTGAGCTGTCTGGCAGCCTCACAAAGAAGCGGCGACCCACTGCGCGCGGTGGCCGAAGCAACGGCCCCACGGCGGCTCCGCACCACCACCGGCTGGCGCGACACGGGAGCGCGCGCCCTGGTGAGCGCGGGCGTGCGAGATGTACCTGTGGAGGAGCGCCTGCACGTCACCATCCCGCCGTGGATCGATGACACCAGGGTCCAGTTCAGACTTGACATCGGCAACCACATCAGCCGCACAGCACCACCCGACGTCCGGCGGGAGAGAGCGGATGAGCATCTGGCCACCCTCCCAGACGACGCCGTATGGGTGTGGAGCGACGGCTCGGCGGAGGGAGGTGTCTCAGCCGGAGGGAGTGGAGCGCTGATAATCCTCCCCTCAGGCGAGGAACACGAGCTCCGAGCCCCTGCGGGCAGGATATGCAGCAGCACCCGCGCCGAATTAGTGGCGATCCGCGGGGCACTGGAGATGCTGCTGCGGCTGGAGGGCGGCCTGGCGGAGAGCCCGGTCATCGTCTGCGCCGACTCGCAGGCGGCGCTCGCCACACTGGCGAGTGGGGCTGGGAGCCAGGCGACAGCACTCGGCGCCGCCGTATGGCGACTGCTCCTGGCGCTCACGGACGGAGGACGCCGAGTCTTCATGCAGTGGATCCCAGCGCACTGCGGAATACCCGGCAACGAGAGAGCGGACGTGCTGGCTAAAGAGGCATCCAGCCTGTCGCAAGACGCCGTCCCAACGGACGTCCGCTCGATGGTGAAGGCAGTCGGCCGCTCCGCCACCAAGGCATGGCGTCGCAGCTGGCCAGACAGCTTCTTCAAAACCATCATGGGAGACCGGATGCCGATGCCGGTGCTCCTGGAGTCTCGCGACGAGGCGGTCAACGTCCACCAGCTGCGGGCGGGACACTGGAGCCGCTCGCAGAGCTACCTTCACAGAATCGGACGCCGCCCCGAGCGCGACTGCCCACAGTGCAGTGATCTGGCCTGCCCGGCGGCGCGCTGCCTGGTGTGTCGCGAGGGCCCAGACACGCCGGAGCACGTGCTGGTGAGGTGCCCGTGCTTGGCTGGCGCGAGGCTCCGCCTACTCGGCAATATCAGACCGGACCCTACGCAGCTTCGGGACGGCGGGGCCGTGGCGGCCTTGAGCCGCGGCTACCTCAGTCACCAAGAGCCGTTGGGCTACGGTCGGCCGTGAGCCGACCCGGGGAGACCAACAACAACAACAACTTGTTGGGTAACAAGCCGGCCATGATCGTGTAAAATGGCTTCATCGTAGATCGATTAGTTTCTGAGATATAACCGGGAATGTAAAAGTGCAAAACCTACCGCTTAATCTCGCGAGAGCCGTACACGCAGTTTTCGTGTTCGCGTGCTTGCAGTTATGCGTGGGTACTGTATCGGGAGACGCTTAAAACGTGCGTGTGCGGTGCCGATGGGTGGTGTGTATTTAAATCTCTAGCGATACGATATACATATATAGTTCGGGCGATTTCGTAATGTTCATGCAAATGTGTGTTGAGCAGAATCGATGTTAGTTGACCCTTGCAGTGCACGCTTGCAGTGACAGAAACTTCATTAATCACTGCCATTTCTCTGTAAACGTGCACGATGGAAGCTGTGGGGTATTTTTACGCGATGCCTGTTGCTTGTGACGCCACAGTTTTCAGCGTTAGATGACGTCGCTGTTGTTTGTTGATGCTGCCGTTTGCCTCCAGGGACAATATCACTGATGCCACGTCCTGGTTCACCCTTTAGAAGTGAAACACTCTCACTAATGTTGTTTGTCTTTTCCAGGGCATGTGGCACATTATCACTCACACTGCCAAGCTGGGACCACTGGGATTCTTCAAGGTCTGTATGATTGCTTTTATGATTCTGTTCAATGCTTTTAGTCTTATTTTCGACTTCCTATGCCAATTAGTCGGTTTGTGAGCAGTTCGTTAGAGTGAGCTCTTGCCATTATTCCCAGTAACCGTCTTGAAATATTTGTAGCTTGAATATACATAGCCATAGACCTATGTATACCGTATACAGAGTATACAGAGATATATGACTTCGCATTTTGATCGGCCCGATGTAAATCAGCTTTCGTTTCCGATTACCCACGTGTTTCGTTAGGTTCTGCGGAATCTTATTCATTTTCTGCCGGAACCGTGCGCTGGGGCTTTCTGTGCAAACTGTTTACTTGTTAGATCTCGATTCTTGTGATTACCCTCGTTCGCCGTGGACAGTCCTCCAGAATTCAGACGTTTGGAAATCTTGGCGAGTTGTGACATTGACTACCGTATTGGTTCGGTTTACGCTTACAAGACCCAAGAGCGAAACTCCGGTGAATTAATATCGTAGCCTTTTAGGCGTATTGACGAAGACAGTTACACAATACACATGATTGAGAGTTGAGGCTCGAGTCAGGAGGGCCTATGGACTTTGCCCACTGGCAATATGCATCGCCTAATGCCGCTCTTAGGTGCAAATTCTTCACACCGTATTGCAAGCCTTGATCTCATTTTGGTGCGTAACGTCTGTAACAATATCTCGCTAATTCCTATAATTTGTTCCGCAGTTTTTGCAACAATCACAAGATCAATGCCCAGGGGCGCGGGAACTACTCTCCGACTGGGGGGGCACACCATAATAGAGATTAACCTAGGGTACCCCCAAATCTAGTTTTCTCACCGGTTTTAGGCCACTTATTTTTCACCCCTCGGCTTTTTCAACAAAAAAGAAAACATTTGCAAAAAAAAAGTGTGGTATTCCGTCTCAAAGCTGTGGGGGCACCGCCCCCACGGCCCCAGAGTTGGGGGGGGGGGGGCAAGCTGCCCCCACTGCCCCCCCGGCTCCCGCGCCTATGTCAATGCCCTCAGCGTGATGTCGTTTTGGCATTTCCTCTCAGGTTTGAGGGGACAGACACTGACGCCTGCTCTGTTTCAGGGCTACGTTCCGGCATTTGTTCGCCTCGGGCCGCAGACAATCCTCACATTCGTCTTCCTTGAGCAGCTGAGGCAGAACTTCGGCGTTTTACCGGTGGCCAAGTAGTGCTGCCATCTAGGGACGATGGGACGCACTCAAAGTTGGCGGAATGACCGTCGGGTGGCCAGCCATGTCCAGGTGCAATATGCGAGACGATCAGTTTTGAAGCGTGGCTTTCGGTGTGTTCGTATTTTTGGTGGGAATACATAGGGAACCTTTAGGGATTAAAATGGAGCGGGTGGGTGTCTTCCGTGCGTCGATGCCATAGCTGTTAATAGCCGAGTCATAAAGCCGTTAGGAGAGGAACTTTGATGCTACGTATCTATGCACGTGCATTGACGATGTCGCTCTATTGAGCGCTGTCATCTGTTAAGTGCATTACTTAGGACAATACCAGTTTTGAAGATCTTTTCCCGGGCGGGTGAACATATTCAGGACTTTAGAGCAGATGTTTTATCTGTGTTGACTGCACTTTGATGCAGTTGCTTGCCAGTGTTTGTAAGATCGTGGATCGGGAAACGAATCGGCCTGTTTGAATACTCCCCCCCCCCCCTGAGAATGCGCGTGGGACTGAAGTGTAAGAGGACCGTGAGCGCGCGGTGGTACTTGTGTGTGGCGATGAACGCATTCGTATGTATACATATATGGCCCAGATGTCTGCGTGTTGATTACGCCTCTGAGTCGGGAGTTTGTTAAGTTTCGACCTGGAGTTCTCACTACTTTAACCGACAGGCGCGGTGAAAAACGAACACGAAGCACCGTAGTATAACCATGACGCCGTCGTCGATCGTCCAGGCTTTCAAATGTAGCCTGCCACGTAACGGTTTGATTACTCGTCTTTAATCAGCATTACCACCAGCCAAACATGAGCCATTTGGTTCCGCGTCATGAAGCCCACAGCCAACACTCTGATTCAGACTCGTCCGTGGTCCTCCCAGTTTTCATTCATCGCCTACACTCCTTTCAATCTCCATCGGTCTCTCATTATCCCCTCTGCCTCTTTCTCTTCTCTTTTCATCGAGCTCCTCCGTAACTCTCCATATTTCCCGTGGTCCGCCATCTCCCTTTCCCCTTCCTTCCTCTTCCTCTCCACTCAAACACAGCGGTTCCACCGGCCAGTATCCTGTATCTCCACAACCACACCCCCTCCTCTCCCTCCAATCCCCGCCAGCACCCAGAGTGGGATGCGGGGCGGGGTCCGCCGGCGGCCGGACGGCACGCGGGGCGGGGTCCGCCGGTGGCGGCGGCGGCGGCCCCGGCAGCGATCTGCCCCGCCCAGCGTCTGGGCCAATCAGAGGTCCGCCGGGCGCCGCCAGAGGTCGCCACGCTCGCCGCGCGCGCGCCACGGCCGCCGCGCAGGCCGGCGCACCTCCCTGGGATGAGCAGCGGGGAAGGTGTGGGCCAGCGCGTGGGGTGATTTCTGGGCCCTGCTTCATGGCACGCTTTCAGCGGCTAGTGGCCACTAGAAGCGTGCCGTGAAACAGGGCCCAGGTGTGCCTACAGGCACACTAACCCCACGCGCCGTCCCGCACCCCTCCGCCGCTCTCCTCCTCTCTCTCAGTGACAGACACATTCACCAGCCGGCGGTGTATAGAGCAGGCCGCTGAGCGCGGGCGCCGGCCGGCCGACCCACGGTCCGGCCGACCGGCTGTGTCGGGGGCGGAGGCGGGCGGACTCCGCGGCGCGCAGGGGCCGCGCCCACGCCGGGCGGACAGTGGCGCCGCCCCGCAGTCAGCGGACAACCTTAAACCTACGTCAGGACTCGGGAGAGCCCCCACGAGTCTCCACATTGAACACTAGACATGTAGCACTACGGTGAAACGCGCGCCGGGCGAAAATTTGAAGCACACAGTCGGTCACAACTAGCACTAATTTCATCGACACTGTAATGTTTCTAGTCTCCACATTCACTCACAATTGTGAATGCCGCGTGACACTGCGGGGCGGGCTTCCTCTGCCGGCCACGGGCACTCTCTTTCTCTGTCCTCCGAGGTCCGCCCCTCTCGTGAGGACTGCTCCTCTCTCGAGAGGACTCTCTCGGAAGGACCGGTCGGCCCCCGCGTCGCGCGGAGTCCGCTCGCCTCCTCACTACACTCGCGCGTTTTTCGGCGCGCGAGCCGCCACCTCTCTCACGGGGAGCCACCGGCGGCGGGAGTGGCGCCACGCGGTCGGCCCGGCGGCGGCAGCGGCCGCGGCGGCGGCGGCGGAGATCGGGCCGTGCGGCCGTCATAAGATCCGCCCCTGCCGCGGCCGCGTCACCGCCGGGGTTCGCTCGCTCCCCATCCTCTCCTCCTGATGATGTTTGAGTCTCCTTGTCTCTCCTGGTCTCCTTCAGTCTCCTTGTCTCATCTGGTCATATCTGGTCTCCTGTGTTTGTCTCCGTTTATCTCCGTTGGTCGCGGCACCTTCACCTCACTAAGTCACGGTTATCGGCGGCGGCGGACGGCGAAACTCTCACCGCCGCCGCCGCCCCTCTCTCACACTCTCTCCTCTCTCTGTCCTCACTCTCCACTCTCTCCTCTCTCCTTGCTCTACCCGGGACGGAGGCTCAGGCAGAGACCTGCTTGTGTCGCAGCACCTCCCGCATCAGCTGTTTGAGATAGTTGAGCTCGCGGCTGAGGGCGCCGACACGCTCGCGCAGCACCTTGTTGCGCGCCTCCAGCATTTCCTGATCGCCGCTGACGAGATCGTGCTCCACCTTCTTCTTCTGACGGTACCTGGGGAAGGGAGGGAGAGAGAGAGAGAGAAACGGAGGTTAGAAGAGGGAACACGCTAACACGTGGAGGGAAGCTGGGGGTCCCAGCTCAATAACAATATGTATCTATAATCATATGAAGGGGGGGGGAGTTACGTATGTCTTCGGGAAGATACCTAGTAAATATGCTTTCGCTCAAATGGGTAAATGATAGGTATTCAAAGACCAGACAATGTAGACCGGCAGGCGCTCCTTAACTAACAAACAGCTTATTCTAGCTTAGATTTCATCTAATATCAAAGGAACATAAAATAAATAAACACAAATGCAGAACATTCCATTGGACAAACCAAAAAACACGGAATTGAAGCACGAAAGACCCGTTCTAAGCTCATGGAGGGCAAAGGGTACAAACTCTAAGAGGTTAAGTACAATGAGTCTAGACTGACGCAATAGCAGCCCACCCGGAGGGTATTTGAACTCAAATACGCTCGTGAGTACTCCTATCCTCGTTCCCAATGAACCCGTCAGGCCCGCACCAACGGCTATCTCGTGTCTGTAAACCTTACGACCCCATTGACCCGTAACCATCTGTTTTACCCCACGCCGCTCGTCAGTTCCTGTGATTAGCTTGTTGAGCACCAGTGTGTTACCCTTTGCCAACTTAAACCCCTTTTTGATATTCCCAACGAATGTTCGCCGTCGAGACTGTTACCAATCTTCGACCAGCTTTCCGTATACGTCTCCCATCAAATGTCTTTAAAACCACACTCCGATTCCAGCGCCCCCTCAAAGAGATCGCCCACTCCCCCAGTTCCCTCCGAGCCTCTCTTCCCCTATCCTCCCTCCACGTACCGAGTGGCGGCGTTCTTGTTCTGCTCCTTCTTCCTCTCGCGTCTCTCCTCCTCGGTGAGCGGCTGTCGGCGCGCGCCGCCGCGCGCCGGTTTGTCGTAGGGCCGCGGTTTGCGCGCGCCACGCCTGGCGGCCGGCCCGGGCTGCCAGTCGGGAGCCGGCGCCAGCTCCGGTGAACAGCACTCGGAGGACGGCGATATGGGGCTGTCGTCCAGAGACGGGCACAGAGTGGGCGACCACGGCTCCAGAGCCACCTGACGGAGACAGAGGGGGGTTAGATGAGGGTAGGTGATGGCTATAATACAACGGAAACGGTAACATTTAAGTGTATCGATGAAAAGGTGTAGTGAAGGAAAAGTGCAAAAGGATGTGTTAGCTTAAAAGCAACGGTTTCAGTAACGGAGTGCAAAAGACTAGCACGGTGTCATAACTGTTCGGAGAGAGCACAGACACTGACAATGAACATTCCCAAAAAGGCTATGCAGCGATGTCGATGATAGGCGTGTCACCCTCGCAGCCAAAAATAAACAGATTACAGTGCATTAATCGCTCAATAGATGACTGAACAGATTGGTATGACGTTCGATACACGACGCCCATCCTAGCGAAACTTCAACAGGTGCAGAATCGGCTTAGTTTCCACGTATAGGAGTACTCGCTCATGCATGAACCAATGCTCCCGGCGGCACCAAACCGACCAACAACTGGGCTCGATTTACAATTTACATAGAGTTGGACGGTTCCAGAGACGTTTACATACCGGGTCGACGGACTAATTAAAACGCGACTCGGGCAGTGGATGGAAACATAATGCAAACATGGAATAAAACAGAGAAAAAAGAAGGAACAACCGGCGAGTTATTGCATTGAAAGTTCTTTGATTGGTATTCGCTATTATACAAGAGCCGAATTTGCCGAAACAGTGAACTCGACGAAGCAAATAAAAATCCGAAATAAGAACTCAACATACATTACAACCTAAGAGCACTGAGCAAACATAAATTAAATGAGACGGGTCACGGGAGCTTTAAGGTTAAGAAAGATTGGCTTATCATATATCTCGTCCTCATAACTGAACAAGGAGGGTCACAAAAGTCACGCAAAGGACACCACATACCACGTCCCACACACCGCACACAGACACCTCCACCTTTCTATCTAAGAGGACCCATCACGAAACTCTCACGTGCCCGCACACGTGACACGGGGAGAGAGGCGCAGCAAGCAGATGGTAGAGCAGCGGCGAGAGAGAGAGAGAGAGAGAGAGAGAGAGAGAGAGAGAGAGAGAGAGAGAGAGAGAGAGAGAGAGAGAGAGAGAGAGAGAGAACGGGAGTGGGGAGAGTGACGGAGGGGCGGGGAGAGTAGCGGAGGACCGTCGACCTCGGGAGGACAGGGTTCGGGGTCGTCGGGCGGACATGGGATGATGTAACCTCTCCGAGTCTCTCGAACGTACAACGACCGGTGTAACTGTTACTGGCGGTAATGAGATAGCGTACTGGAGTGGTGGAACATTCAGCCCCTTCCGGTCACAAATGATGCATGGAATAATGCAATGGTTTGAGAAGCGATACGACAGAGGAGCGAATACATAGCACATAGCGAGATACTCTTGAAATAGGTATCTTAGTATGGGACAGTCGCAAAGTATGACGAGCGTGAGTTCTCAGGTAACATGCTCAGCATTATGTCAACAAAACGGCAATGTGGGAATAGGCTAGACTTCGCATAATGTTCCCATAGCTGATTTAAGTTGCAAGGTGTGCTTATTATCATCGGCCAGCCTTTTAAGAACAGTGCATGGTAATTGTGCAATCATCAGAGATTAGACAATGCCTGGTCCGGTGTATGCTTGGTGTGCATTGCCTCGAAAATTCAGAGAACCGCTCAACTATTTCATTTCTGTTCAATTCAGAAGTCCCCTCCTAGCTATCATAAACAACAGAAGCAACGCTCCTGTATGGGCCGGCTGTCGGCGCCATTTGCGGACAGTCGGGGCTGCGCCGGGCTGGGCGCAGTCGGTCGAACCGACGGCGCGCACGAGGCCCGTGATGGGGACCGGCGAACCCCCGGTCACGGGTCACGGGTCACGGGTGCGCGCCGACGGACG